ATAACCAAAATGGGAAAGATCTTAACAACTTCACAGGCAAGAAAAAAATAACCAAAATTGGTTAAAAGTAATAAGTTAAAACTTCCTCAGAAACAGTGAGTGTGAGTTGTATGCATGTACGTACCTATGTATGTACACATAAAAAACAATTGCGCTTGAATATTTTTCGCTGGTTTTGGTTACAGCCTGATATATTTGCATACATACATATGGGTGTTTCCATACAGCCGTACGCGACATTCGTACGCTTATAGAGTAACGTAAATCTATCAAAAATAGAAGTTACAGAAAAAAAAAGATTACGATTATGTTGCTACCAAAGGGTACTACGTTTGAGAAAAAAATAAGCAGCCTCGAAACTTTGGTGTGGAAAATATCCGTTCAAAACCAGGTGATAACATACGCGACAAAAAAAGAAGTGGTTTTAAGGCACATATACATATATGCGAAAGTCTGCGAATCATGAGAGTTTTTGTTTTCTTTAAAAATTCCTAAACTAAGCTAAATAATGTACCTTTACAATCCTTCCATTTTTTGATAGAAATTATCTCTGGTTAGTTTTTATTAAAAAAAAAAAATATAATAACGTACGCGACATAACGTACGCGACAGGTTTTCCCCCATACAATATTTTTACTAGTAACACATACTAAATTAAATTTTTTCAGTTCTTCTCTCCACTGTTTCGCGTTCTCAAAACCTTTTTCCGCCATCTGAATACGAAATTTAAAGTTATATAGCCGTTTGAATTCATTTGCTTGCATTTTCGGTTTACATTTTCATGGAAACACGCATATATGCGAAAGTCTGCGAATCATGGGAGTTTTTCTTTTCTTTAAAAATTCCTAAACTAAGCTAAATAATGTACCTTTACAATCCTTTCATATTTTAAGAGAAATTATCTCTGGCTAGTTTTATATGAAAAAAAAACGATAACGTACGCGACATAACGTACGCGACAATTTTTCTCGTAAGTAATAAAATGTATTTATTGAGAACTCTTCTCGCCACCGTTTCATTGTTTTACAACTATTCTAAATAATTTAAATGGAAAATTTGCAATTAACATTGGTTTTGATGTATTTGATTGAAATTTTCGTACTTACAATAACGTATGCGACAAACTTTAAAGGGTAATAAAATATATTTTTACTTCCGTTGGAAAGAAAATTTTACTGTATATCTTTAACTGGAAGAATTCTCGCTTAAGAATTGTAATCTGCATTACCTGCGACTGCCAATATACAAATGACATAGACAAACAATGTTTTTGCATAACGTACGCGACCTTAGAATACTATCAGAAGCAAATAAAAAAATTACCGTTATTCGAGCTCTAACTTCTTATTTTTCTCATTTTTATAGTTAGTTGTTATTGCAAATTTGATTTTAAGATGTAATTGTAATGTTTCAAATCTCTTAATTTAGTTAATAGGAAAGAGAAAATAGTTCATTTCATTAGAGAAAACTGAGTCGAAGAGACATTCTGTTTTACTCTTCCATTTTTGAGTTTTAAAATTCCAATAAGCTGAAATACTTCCATAATATAAAATTTCTAGTATTTTTCTCTTATTAACTCGTCTTAAAAACCTTTTTCAGTTGTTTTTATTTTTTTCAGTCCTGGTTGACATTTTCATGGAAACACCCATATGTAAATTAAAATATCTATATGTAAGTAACGTCGGCCGCTGTGGTGTAGTGGTAAGCAGTGCGCGCTTTCACACATCCGCACCTGGGTTCAAGCCCTGGTCAAAGCAACATCCCAAAAAATATAGAAAACGGTTTTTTCTAAACAGCGGTCGTCCCTCGGCAGGCAATGGCAAACCTCCGAGTGTATTTCTGCCATGAAAAAACAGCTTCTCATAAAAATACAATCGCCGTTCGGAGTCGGCGTAAAACTGTAGGTCCCTCCGCTTTGTGTGACAACATCAAGGCGCACGCCACAAGTCGGAGGAGAAGCTCGGTCAAACACTAACATATGTGTAAGCGCCAATCTATTATATGTAAGTAACTATGTACAAATGTATGTCGTGAACATACCCTGCAAAAAATGCGACGAGTCCGGGATGTGTCCGCGATGAGTCGCAAAGGAACATGCGACTAATGCCACTTTGCATCCCTTTGTATGGACTGAACTGTTCCCTTTTGTTCGAGCATGTCCTATGAAGAGACTAATTGTACCCTTTTATACCCGAACGGGTATGAAAGTAGAGTAGTCCGTTTTCATAGAAATAATGTGACTAGTCGCGGGGCGAACTCCTGTAAGAACAACAATGGCGACCTAGTGACCGATGTCCAGAATATACTTAAATTGTGGAGGGAACACTTTTATAACCTACTGAATGGTAGCAGCGCTGAAAGTAGTGAGGAAGACGAACCCGAGTCCCCAGTCGATGATGATGGAGTAGCTGTCCCACCGCCTGACTATGACGAGGTACGAATAGCGATTACGCGGCTGAAAAACAACAAAGCTGCTGGAGCTGACGGCCTGCCAGCCGAGCTATTCAAGTACGGCGGCGAGGAGCTGATGAGGTGCATGCATCAGCTCGTATGCAGAATATGGTCAGATGAACGCATGCCCGACGACTGGAATTTAAGTGTGCTCTGCCCAATCCACAAGAAAGGCGACCCCGCCATACGCGCCAACTACAGCGGAATTAGTCTTCTAAGCATAGGTTACAAGGTCTTATCGAGCGTATTGTGCGAAAGACTGCAGCCCACCGTCAACGAGCTGATTGGACCTTATCAGTGTGGCTTTAGGCCTGGAAAATCCACCATAGATCAGGTATTCACAATACGCCAAATCTTGGAAAAGACCCGCGAGAATAGGATCGACCCACACCATCTATTTGTCGATTTCAAAGCCGCTTTCGACAGCACGAAAAGAAGTTGCCTTTATGCCGCGATGTCTGAATTTGGTATCCCCGCGAAACTAATACGGCTGTGTAAAATGACGTTGAGCAATACCACCAGCTCCGTCAGAATAGGGAAGGACCTCTCCGAGCCGTTTGATACCAAACGAGGTTTCAGACAAGGGGACTCCCTTTCGTGTGATTTCTTTAATCTTATGTTGGAGAAGATAATAAGAGCCGCAGAACTGAACCGCTCAGGCACAATACTTTATAAGAGCGTACAATTGCTTGCGTATGCCGACGACATCGATATCATCGGTAAAAACAAGGGCTACGTCTGTTCTGCCTTCTCGGGATTGGATAGAGAAGCAAAGCCGAATGGGTCTGGTGGTGAACGAGGACAAAACGAAGTATCTCCTGTCAGCACACAAACAGTCAGAGCATACGCGTCTTGGCACCCACGTCACTGTTGACAGTTACAAGTTTGAAAAAGTAGACGACTTCGTTTATTTGGGAACCACCATTAACACCAATAATAATGTCAGCCTTGAAATCCAACGGAGAATCACTCTTGCCAACAAGTGCTACTTTGGGCTGAGTAGGCAATTGAGAAGTAAAGTCCTCTCTCGTCGTACAAAGATTACACTCTATAAGTCACTCATCATGCCTGTGCTGGTGTATGGCGCGGAAGCATGGACAATGAAAGCATCTGATGAGGCGGCTCTTGGAGTTTTCGAGAGAAAGATTCTGCGAAAGATTTACGGACCTTTACGCGTTGGTGATGGCGAATATCGCAGACGATTTAACGATGAGCTGTATGAGCTTTACAACGATATAGACATAGTGCAGCGAATTAAAATTCAGCGGCTCCGCTGGCTTGGCCATGTCGTTCGGATGGACAGAAACGCTCCTGCTCTGAAAATATTCAACGCGGGCCGCGATGCTGGTAACAGAGGAAGAGGAAGGCCTCCTCTGCGTTGGAAAGACCAGGTGGAGAAGGACTTGGCTTCACTTGGCATTTTCAATTGGCGTCAGTTAGCACAGAAGAGAAATGACTGGCGTGCTGTTTTGGACTCGGCCAAAATCGCTTAGGCGGTTACAGCGCCAAATAAGAAGAAGAAGAAGTCGCTTTTTATTCCAATCGGGTATAGTGGTTTTCTTACCTTTTCATAATCGTTTCATATTTAATATAATACAAAGAAAAAACACTTTATATTAATTTTTAAGTTCACTTGCATGATTTTTATTTAGATATTTTTTTATTATTTGTAACAAATTATAAAACTCTTATTCTAAAATAGTTCAATATTTAAATGCCTTTAATTTGCAAATTCATTTTATTTGTACATTTGTTTCTCTAGGACTTTAGTTAATATAACGATATTTTGTAGAAAAAAATTGCACTTCATTAAATTAAAAATTAAAATTTTTCTTATTTTCTAGTTAAATTCTTTCTTATTCTAAAACAGTCAAATATTTACATTAATTATGCTTTCTTATTCTAAAACAGTCTAATATTTTTATGTATTTCATTTTTGAATTCACTTTCATTTGTACATTTGTTTCTTTAGTCTTTTAAGTTATTCTAAAACAGTCTAATATTTACATTAATTTTATTTTTAAATTCATTTTCATTTGTACATTTGTTTATTTGTTCTTTAAGTTAATTGGGGTATTCACAACGGTGTCGTATGTCGTAAACTTTAAACGCATAAAAAATATATTAAGGGGTTCGCAAGTGCCATCAAAATCATAGTATTAATTTTTGAGGTGTAAAAAAATATTTGGCTGTCGTTTCAAGTTCTCTAAATATTTACTTAAGCTTTTAAAGTTTACGACATGCAACAACACTACACCTTTGTGTATGCCTCAAACATAGATATTTTATGGAAATAAATTGCACTTCATTAATTTCATTAATTCAAAAATTAAATTCGCTCTTATTTTCAAATTAAGGTCTTTCTTTTTCAATAACAGTCTAATATTTACATTAATTACTCTTTCTTATTCTAAAACAGTCTAATATTTTTAATTCACTTTCATTTGTACATTTGTTTCTTTAGTCTTTTAGTTAATTCCAAATTCCGTACTTTCTTCTTCTAAAGTAGTCTAATATTTACGATAATTTCATTTTTAAATTCATTTTCATTTGTGCATGTGCTTCTTTGAGATGGATAATAAAAGAATTCCAATTTATAAATTTGATTAACTTAAAAATTAGTTTTCTGAATTTTTTTTCTTTTGTCGATATGCCTTTTTGAAAAATTTTGCCTTTTCAAATTTAAGTGCGTTTCTGACAGTGTCTCCGGCGTCAATCCCTTAAACGGCATTTTAGCAATGGCTCCTGAAAGTGGAAAAAAATTTTCCATGTACATATGTGTGTAAAATTGTAAATAAAAACTTTTAACACCTGCAAGTGCACCATAAAAGTTTGGAAAGGATTTAAGTCCAACCTTTCCATGAGATCCATCCACATTTAATTGGTTGATTACCTCTATTTTTAGTAGCGATGAAATATTTTTAATGTTGTTGCATAAAATGGATGAAATAGCAACCTCCTTTAATATCGATAAGTTTAAAAAGAGAAATGAAATTGATTTGAAAAGCTTTATATATTTAAATGTATGTATGTATGTATACATATATAATTTTTTTCTTATAAAGCATTTCAAATATTCAGCAAATTTCTACATTTATAGATAACGCACATAAATATCTCTGTTGGCAGAAGTTATTTTGAATTCCAACGCTTGCATTTCAGGTATATCGCATACCGGAAAGTATTTGACGACTGCTGTATTTTGCGCTTCTTGACGCTCCAGTTGCTCTGTAGCCACCTTTTGCCCGGCTATTGCATCCATGATCGCGGCGTTTTGGGTTTCCACCACATTGTGCAGGACTTCTATTTTTTTATCCATTGCTTGCAGTTGTTTTTCAAACACGTTACAGTGACTGCAACACACAACTTGGAAAACTTCTTGGTTGGTTTCTAAATATGAAAAACATATGCGATTTTTATTATAACTAAATTATTTTGATAATAAGGTGAATATATATAAGGTTTTAAAACTTACCATTTGTTTGTATGGCCGATGTTGATACGCTTATTCTCCGTGATTCTAAAAAATATAAAAAGATATATGTATAAGGGAAGATGTATGTATGTATGTCACTGAAAGGAGTTATTTACCTATAGTGCATTCACTGGCCACACTAACGCGTCTTGAGCTGTTTTCTAAGAGGATTCTATTTTCGGTCGCATCTAGAACATTATTTGATCGATATACTTTAATATCAATAGAAATTACGCATACTTACATTTTGCCTTTTTTATCGGTACTGCCGCTGCCGACGTGCTCGGGGTTTGCGCTCCATATTTTTTAAAAAGGTGCTGGAGTAAAATAAAACGATTATTGATTTTAACTTCCTGCGCATTTAGGTACATTAATATTTTCATTTGCCAGAATTGTCAAAAGTTCGGAAAGGATTTTATGGGACATTTAATTGCGAATAGCCCACATTTTAAGATTTTCAAAAAAAAATATTTTCAAATCCTCATTTACCGAATTACATGGCACATCTTCTCCACTTTCGACAACTCCAGCAATGGACGCAATTGTGGCAATCTGCGCATTTTCACTTAACCTGAACATTTCACGGTTATTTTCCCTTTCTTTAGGAACCAATCTTCTAAGATGACGCTTACTTACCTTATTCATATTTCTCGCTAATTTATCCACTGTTTCTTGATTTTAATTCTCCTTTTATTTATTAATTTAATTCAATTTTCCTCAAAATACTTCTAGAATCGCTGGTCAACTTTATATTCGGCAAGTGAAAAACATCTGTTGCAAAACTAGAGATCGCCATCTACTGATTGTAGTTATCGATATTAATTTGCCATTGGTGTGATACACGATAAACACTTGAATCGCTGCTAGCTTCGAATCCGCAAACGTGCGCACAATTGCGCGATTTTTTCGCGTCGGATTGCGTTGTACAATGCACTTATTTTCCCCTTTTTCGTATATTTTTGTACTCGGCGTGTCCACATAATATAAAATAGGATTTTTACGACCGTATTCTATTAGGTTTCGTACATCATACATTTTTTTCTTCGCATTTATTGCTATGACATTTTTCTTCCTCTTCTTTGACGCCTTCAAAACGATGCAGGAAGCGTTTGGAACGCGTCAAACGAGAGGAACATCCATTTCTGCACGATACATACGATAGTATAGACAAAGAACGTAGATAATAAGACGGGACAACTCGTTATAATTCTAGCGAAAGTGCGCAACCTTGCCTTCTCTTTTCATCCAATCAAAAAACGTACTAGGGCAAAAGAGAAGGCACACACCTGTTGCTCACTTTCGCTACAATTATAACGAGTTGTCCCTTATTGTTATCTACGTTCTTTGGTATAGATATTATACCATCCCGTAATTATTGGCTATCTATAAATTATGAAAGACAAATTAGTTACTTGAATTTGGCATCATTCGTTTTTTAATAGGTTACGTAGTTCAGAATTTAATAGCTAAACGGTTGGTATTCTGACTTATGTGTACCGAACGACTTCGGACTATTTCTACCCAACCGACGTTAGCACCTCATTTGTGAAAATGTTAAGATTTTTGTAATGCAATCGATAGTTCGTCGATTGTTCTTTAATGTTCGTCCATTTTTGACGTTTGTTCGTTAGCCAAAGATTTATAATTTTATTATTTTCATTTGTTAACTGTGATAAATCGTTTTTTCGTCGTTAGTTCTCATCCCTAAAATCGACCAAAAGCCATTAATAAATTCATAATTTTTACTTTACGTTAAACATTATGTAAACGTTTAAACAATGATTGGAATTGGGAACGCATCACTTAAAACTTTTAAAGAAAACGCAACTCTTCTCCTTGCAGCAACTAGATTTATGTGAATTTTCTTTTAAAATTCAACAGATGTATTCTTTTACTAGTAAAAAAAATTAAAAAATAATATGATGAACCTTTTTTCGTCAATAACCCCTTTTTTGCGACTATCTGAAAGTTCTCACCGGCAACACTGGTCGGTTGGGGCTATTTCTGATTAAATTCTGTAGTACGGGAACAGGCTAATTGTCAAACTTTATTAGTGTTGCCAAAATGTATTGTAGTGCGACCTAAATTTTTGAACTTTGCTGCCAAATTTTCTAAAAAATAAACAATAAAAGTGGTGAGCATACTATAAAACCCATTTATTACATTTTCAACAAAAAAAATGCATACCGATACACCTCGGTTATAATGAATTATATTTGATCGTTGGTTTTTCTTAATTAATCGATAAATTGGATGTTGGCAGGACCGTCGCTGGAGAATGTTGACAACTTGAGATTTTTGACAACTCAAAATTGCTTTATTTATTTGCTGTGGGCTTTTATTAGGTGCGTTCGTTTAAAATCTCCAACAGAAACCAACCAACTGCCAAATTCTGGCGAAATGTCATCTGTTCGCTCACAAGAGAGAAATATCCAAAATAGAACGCGAACAGAAAATTTGCAGAAACTTGCAAGTTAGACGAACAGCTGATATAAATTTTGTTTACATACAAAAGTGTAAAATTTAAAACGTACGAAAAGTCATCGCAAAGTGTTATACTGACACAGTTTATTGATTAAACAAATAACTACTTATTTCTTACAAGTTTAATTTGTCGCATTTTGTAATTTTTATCTTCCAAACCATCAAATTAAATTTTGTGATTTGCGTAAATGCCAACCAGCTGTTTTTGATCAGCTGTTTCCCTGTTGGCAAATTGCTGTTGGCAAAAATTTTTCCAACAGAAACTAACAGCTTCCCCTCAAAATGAAATGTCACTTTGCTCTCTCAATTTCCCCTACTTTGTAAGTTTTTTGCGTACGCGAACGCAAAAACCTGTAAGTTTTGGTTAAACATGAACAATTAACAGCTACGCGAACGAACCTATTATCGTTTAAGCACAATAAACAGGTATATTATTAATTAGCTGCAGAATATGACTAACAACATTACTAAGTAATAATTGCTTCAATATTTTGTAGTTAAGAGCGCTATGGAGCAAGAACAACAAATGCGGCCACCAAAGATGATGGGATGCTTTTGTGAAGGAATTTGTTTTGGTTTGTGACCAGGACAATATCTATGGATAAACATAACACCGATATTAGTCGTTGTTGGTGACGTTGTTTTAGATTTAGACAGCTTAAAGGTAAAGGATTGATTGTACCATGACCTGTGCTAAATTTATTGTGTTCTTTTGCAATAGAAAGATTTACCTCGTAGCTAGTGGTTTGACAAATTCGATTTCCACCATCTTCACTCGCGTCCACAGAGAAAAAGTATTCAAACTGTTGAATTTGTCGCAATTAAATTATACTTGCAAACATCATCGTGTTATCTCATAGTGCCGGAGTAATAACATGCCTGTAAGCGAAGTGCTAGTAATATGGTTCTTCCAAATAACAGAATAACTGATGTGGTTTTAGGTTCATGAATTTAGAGTGTTAATGACCTGTTCAAAATGTGCCAACGGCGTGGAGCGTGTTTTAAACAAGTTAGGCGATAAGTGGAGTTGAGCGAGACAATGATGGCAACGAGCGATATGTGTACAATAAGCTCCAAAGTGTTTCCTCTTTTTTATTGGTATCAGTGTGTATTATAAATACATTAATTGGGCTTACAAATTAATGTACATACGTCCAAGACAAATTATTTGCAAGTATTACAAATGTGAAAATTAGTATGCCTTATGCGTGTGTAAAATACTTGTACGGAATTGTACAAAGTTGTTAGCCAAGGCTTGTTTTTTAAAAAGTGTTAAGTAATTATTAATGTTAATGTGTATTAAAAGAAAGGTAATTCAATTGATTTTCTTCCTGTTATAAAATCTTTTCAACATATAAAATTTGTTTGTAAAAATTTTCAAATTTTGAGTATGCCTTATGCGAGTGTAAGATACTCGTACGGAATTGTACAAAGTTGTTAGCCAAGGCTTGTTTTTTAAAAAGTGTTAAGTAATTATTAATGTTAATGTGTATTAAAAGAAAGGTAATTCAATTGGTTTTCTTCGTGTAATAAAATCTTTTGAACAAATAAAATTAGTTTGTAAAAATTTTAAAATTTTGAGCATGCCTTATGTGAGTGTAAGATACTCATACGGAATTGTACAAAGTTGTTAACCAAGGCTTGGTTTTTAAGTGTTTTGTAATTATTATTATTAATGTATATTGAAAGAAGGGTAATTCAATTACCTTCTTTCTGTTATAGGGTCTTTGAATAAATTAAACTTTTTTGTAAAAATCCACAATTTTTGTATAGTGGCTTATTCGAGTGCAAAACACACGGGACCTTATGAATATCAGCTAAGCAAGTTTTTTCCTAAAATTTCAGATCTTTTACTTTTTGAAAGCGAGTAAAAGGTGTGAAATTTTAAAATAAACCAATTACTTATTAAAAAAAAATAGTAATTATTAATGTTAATGCGTATTAAAAAAGGAAACCTAATTTTTTCTGTGATAAATTATTTTTAATAATCAACTTTTGTTATAAAACCCTCAATCGTACCCGTAGGTGATGAGTCGAGACTAATTGATCTCCAATAATACCCGTATGAGACTAGTTGCGACTAATTAATGCCCAATTGTACCCGATTGAGACTTATTCCGAAGTACTCTCTTTAGAGATTAGTCGCACAATTTTTTGTAGGGTAAGAATCTGCTGTAACTTCGGCAGCGTTGGGTGAAAATAATAGGACTTTTACTCTACGACTTTAGCAAAGTTAAAGGTAATAGCTAATTTGCCGTTACTATGTGTCTACATACATATGTACATATATACATCTGTATATGCATGAGTTTAAGTTCAACAGCAACTGGAATTTTCGAGATTAACGGGGGTTGGAAAACTAGGTCTGCTTTTATTTTTTGTATAATTACCGGGCTACCGCAATATATTTATATAAATATACACATGAAACATATGGGCTTACTCAGCCATGGGTGCTTTTACTTAGCCGGTTTTGATAAATTTTTCCGTTCCGCCTCTTCGGGTAGGGGTTCTGTCCGGTTTGTAGTGAAATTGTTGGTAGTGCTGGGGTCGCACCGCTTACGCCTTTGATGATCCAGTAGGGCGTTCTCCGTTAAGTGCAGGTATACTGCTGGCGGTCGCAACGCTTGAAAAATGTGTTGTTGTTGCAGGTCTGCTGCTCGCAACGCTTAAAAATTTTGTTGCTGTTGCTGGTATACTGCTCGCAACGATTAAAAATTTGTTGCTGTTGCAGGTATACTGCTCGCAACGTTTAAAAAATTTGTTGCTAACAATCTCACAATTGTATCGTTTTAAATTTTGTAGTATTAATTTGCACAATTGTCAAACTTTTTCTCTTTCCCACAAGAGCACTATTTAATTCTAAATCTTTGTCGTTTTCGTTTGATTGTTTTAATTTACCAAATTTTGAAAAATATTTTTTATTTTGGTTTTTTGTAATTGCACCACTGTTTAATATGCCTTGGTATCGCAAAGCAATATGTTGTTGCTGCCGGTATGCTGCTCGCAACGTTTAAAATATTGTTTTTTAACAAAATTGGTGCTCGTCTTTAATTTTGTTATTTGTGTCGTTTGTTTGTTTGATTTAACTTTTTCACTCGCGTCTAATTGTTTTTTTTTCCGCAAATTAAATGTCTTTTTGTTTTATGATTTCCCCGATTGATTTTATTTCGCTCACTGACCTATCTTACCGTCCGCGCTTTATGGTTTCTCGCTCGCTACTAACTTGAGTGACTTTTGTAATAGCCCAAGAGGCCGCCCATGGCTCGAAGGACCATGTTTAATATTTGGGTATCTGAATCCGACTGTGCAGCGCGCATAAATAAAAAGATATAGAGATTTGTTTATTACAAATTCAAAATCGAAATTCAGATTTATTAGTTTAATGTGATTATACGTTAGAGTTTAATTGATATATATGCACGAGTTTAAGCTAATTTGATTTGGTGATGTTGTCGCTTGGGCGGCTGTTGAGCAATTAAAAACTAAATCGGGGGTGGGCGGATCGGGCAAGGCGCGCGTTGCCAACTACTCTGGTACCCGCCTGGCCAGATGAAATTAAATGGGCAGGAATTACAAGGTTAAGGGCTCATGTCTGCAACAGATAAATTGTTTGAAATGGAAGACTTAATTCCTATACATTGATATATCATAGAGGCGCGAGCTCGCCCCTAACCTTTGAAGTTCACCTTCTAGGTAGGTATATAAAGGCAGTGTCACACGATTGGTACATTTGTACATTATTTATATTAGGCTATTGCACATTACGTCAAATGATTACATTTTCTGTGCGAAATGAATAGCAGCTAAATACTGATTTTTCTTAACGTAAAAGGGTTGCAAACGTTAAAAACAGTGTAAAGTCAGTGAATAAAATGTGAAAGCATGACCTGAATTTCGTAAAACCGGCCTTTTTATGTTAAAATGATGAGTATATGTGTTTAGTCTTCATAAAACACTTCATTTTCAATTGAGGTGTCAGTATTTCCCAATTCTAGACTAGGGTTGCCAGATTTTTTATGTGCGAAATCACTACGTTATACTTTTTCATGCCAAAAAAATCAGTACTTTTCAGTACACTTTTATTCAAAGCAAAATTATGAATGTAAGTAACAGATAATACTTTAAACCGCCAGAGTATTTGTTTTTAACAATGTTTTGGTATATAAATAAAATAAAGTTAATAAAAAATAAAGGTGTTATTCATTTTAACATGAGTGTACACATCATTGTACACAGAAACCAATAAATTATTTTATATGTATGACATTTCGAGGGCCTATATTCAATACCCTCTATCTGCAATTTTCACAAAAACTACTTTGTGATCAATGATTGGATCTAAACCAGATTAGTATGGGACCACCTGAGACAATGATCGGATACAATGTGATACAATGATCGGATCTAAACCAGATTAGTATGGGACCACCTGAGACACTACCTTTCCGATGCAAAAAGAATTATTGAAATCGGTTGACGTGGTTCAAAGTTATGCGGTAACATTCATAAAAAAAACTATTCCGACGAACTGATAACCTCCTCCTTTTTGGAAGTCGGTTAAAAAGAATTCATTTGACATGAAACACGAGAAATAAACCAAAATTTTGATTCAAAGTGAACTTGAGGACCTGCCTGAATAACTGTACTTGTTCAAATATTAGCTTTGTTCCACACGCTTTCCGGGCTGCTCCGGTATTTAGAACGTAAAAATAAGTTACTTTCTCAAAAGTGTCAAAAGCGTGTCAACACTAGGGCATTCAATCCCGAAGCATTTTACCCATCCCGGAATTCGAATCCCGGAATCCCGAGACTTTGGGGACTTCCACTTCATCACAACTTTTTACATTTTACATAAGTTTCGCCTTTTTCAAACCACACAGATTCATTGATTCACATTTGGTCTTAGGGGAGCATAATGCCCCTTAGTAAAAGAGTACGTAATTTGATGTTTAAATATTTTTATTCTAAAATATCTATATTACTTGTCAAACACAGAAATCCTTTTCCAAAACAAGGCCAACAAAGTAAAGTGAAGAACAACTCTGCCTCACTGTAAAAGCTTGTTGTGTTTCTATTGCTACCAGATTTTTCGTTATTACACAGTTCTTGCGCAAAATAGATTTGTTCCACATGAGCCCGCGGTATCCCGCTAGAAAAATGGGTAATAGAGAGCGAATACGTTCCACTTTTGGATCGTAAATGGCTTTGAAATAACAGCTGTTGTTGTTTAAATCCGAAAGAAAATTTTATAAAACACAAAAGTGGAAAATACCACAGAATCTCGGGAGTCCCGAGCACTTTTTTGAGTCCCAAAATACCGGGATCAAGCCCTCGGGATACCGGGACCGAGGGATGTTATTTAATTTACAACCAAACAACATTCAGACACTGTAATGGCAAATGGTAAATTAAATTAAATTAATTAATCCCAACGGTTGTTTACCCTCCATTCCCGCCGAACCGACACGAGGGGCGCAGTCCGCATGACGTCCGGAACTTTTTTTTTGTTTTTTTTTTTTTAGTTTTTTGGTGCCGAGTAGTGGAAACAGGAGTTTGTTAATTGTCGAGATCTAAAACTATTCAGCTACAGAATCAAATTCATCAGCTGATTGGATATGCTAAAGATAGTATTTCAATTACTGAGAGTGGAAATGATAGTTTTCTTTACAGTAATAATCGAGTCCGATATGTCAAACGTGCGGAATGAGAGTTAAAATCTTGATATAAACAACGGAATGATTCGTTTAGTTCAAAATTAGTTTTGCATGGCTTCAAAAACAGAGGTCGAAAGTGTCTTGACACTCGAGCGGGAACATTAAAATTTACCTCAGCCAGGAGGGCCGGGCTATTAATCAAGCCTGTCATCTAAGGGTGGGTAACTCAGCAAATTTATAGGAGTTGACTCAATGACTCCAACTCACTTTAAGGAGTCAGTTCATTCAACTAACTCATTTGACTCTTTGTATGTTACACTCATTCGTATCGTAGACTCGTTTTGAGGCATAGATGCGGTATAGCGGCCGTTGAGATAAAACAAAACTTTAAAGTGGGCGTGGTCAGCTCCTTTCTACTGATTTGAAAGGTGTAATTTTTTTTGTGTGCAAATTAATAGGGCGGTGCGAGGGGGAGGGTAAAGGTGGAATTTTCAATATTTTCAAAAGCTTATATTTCGAAACCTATTGTACCGAATTTCAAAATGTGGATATGGTTGGAAAGGCAATTGATTTGATATGCACATCTTTATATATCTTAAATACAAACATATTTCGAGAAAAACTAAAAAAAACGAAATTATAAGAATTTGTGAGATTTGACATAACACCCGCAATACAAAATACATGTGGTTGTTGTTGTTGTATTCTTGCCACCACCTTGTATAAATTCGCCTCGTGCAAAAACAAAATGCAAGACTTTGCCATGCTAAACACTGTGGCGAAGCGAGAGAGTTATATGGACAAATATGAGCCACTATGATTCAATTGATTCATGTGAGCCCTACGGCACCAACTGAGTTACTGAGTTACATTTTTTTTGGACAGGGAGTCTGAGTTACCGATTCACTTATAGGAATCAACTCAATAACTCAACTCTGAGTTGAGTTACCCACCTCTACTGTCATCAATTTTACGATAACTATTATATCTAGCATTTCTCTACGACTTGCGAGTGTAGGCAAATTTATGAGCTTTAGACGACTTGTGTAAGGGGGGAGATTGTTACCTGAATCCCAGTTAAAGTCACGCAATGCAAAAAGCAAGAATTGTTTTAGAATTGATTCAGGTCTAACTATTGAATAGGTCTAACTAAAGTGGTAAAAAGAGCTTTTGTAACATAAGGATCTTTGAACTC